GACAAACAAAGTTCTCTCCAGTTGACTGTGACTCATGGTGACCCTGTGTGTGTATGTGTGAGTAGCACTGTGCTTCCCAGAGTTTTCAATGGATGAGTTTCTGGAAAGAGATCTCCAGGCCATTCTTCTGAGGCCCACCTGGGTAGACTCGATGGGATACCACTGAAGCATTCATGTATTTGGATTATTGTGTTCATAATGCATATTGAAAGGGTTATTGACTGCCAGAAGAACAAATAGCTGTGTTGGAAGAAGTACAACCCGAATGCTGGTTGGACGTGAGGATGGTGAAACTTCATCTCACACACTTTGGACCTGCTAAGCATCGAGTTAGCGTTTGGTAACCATTTGCACAGCCCAGGGAGACCCGGCCAGTGTGATGTAAGCCTGGGACCAACTCAGACCTCCTGGTACTATTAGCAGAAGGTAGATTTAGTTAAATCATCTTGATTTAGTTCTTCCGGGACTTTTACTCTTTTTTTTTTTTAATGTGCCTGGTAGGTGCCCTGAATAAATATTCAGGGACAAGGACGGATGTGGACCGAGAGTTTGTTATAATGTTCACCCTGGTGGATGAGAACCAAAGCTGGTACCTCAACGAAAATATCAGACACTTCTGCACTGATCCCAACTCAGTTGACAAGGAAGATGCTGTTTTCCAGAGGAGTAACAAAATGCATGGTGAGTATCTTTTACGTTTTCAGAAATACACACTGAGTGCATTTTTGTGTACCTGGAACGACAAGGACACAAAAAGAAAACACACACAACTTGCAGCTAGAAATGTTGAACCTAGTTTTTAAGATAGACAAGAGTATTTAGAAAATGGTGTATGATGATGCATATTGATGTCTAAACCAAGATGTGAAGAGAAAAAGAATTTCAGTAGGAAGTGCTAAACTGGGTAGGAAACATGGACCATGTTGTGGAACAGAAAATGGAGAAATGAATTTTATGTAATCAGGAAAGAATTATTCGCATAGGCAGTGAGCTCAGAGGAGGCATGGGTTTAGACTGACAGGAAAATAAAAAGAGAATCAAATTATCTCATACAATAATCCTGTGTTTTGAACTGCTTCCTCTGCTAGGAGACCAGAACTGGATGTTAATTCTAGCCATCACAGAGACACTGGGTAGGACCAGTTACATTCTTGGATGGTCCCTGCATTCATGTGGTTGTCCATGCCAATACGGAGAGCTGCTGCGATCAGTGCAGCACTACTTAGGCATATGAACTACCCAGTGTGGAGCACAGTTTGCATTTAAGAAATGACATGCTAACTTTTTAAAATCCCGAGATCAAGTTCTCATCTGCAACTTGGGAGCTGCCAGGTAGAAGATTAAAATGTCGATCTGGGTTTTATGGTATACACAGAATCAGCAACATTCTGCTTTAGCAGGACCTAAAAAAAAACCCCAAAACGCCATTTCTTCCCTGCTTGTAAAATAACAAAATATACGAAGGCCTCCTAAGTCCCTTGTAACCAATTCATTTCTTCATCACCCTGCAGCATGTTTCTGCCACTTCAAATGGGTGTCAAGGAATTGAAGCCAGATTCTCTGCTAGGTCCTGTTAGCTGTCTGATGCGTAAGACCAAGTTTCTAGCCCCTAGGAATGCAGGGGTTGGTCAGGGAGACCTATGGAAATGAAGGACGACATCTAGGTGACTGAGACATCCTGGAGGATGGATGGCCCGCAGTTTACTCCTGACTTCCATGCGGAGCGTACAGGCAACACTACGTCTATGCTGTGTGTGCTGATTGCCACTCTCACTGAGTGCTTTTCTCTTAAGAGGTCAACACACCATGTTCATTCCTTCCTGGGGCAATACTTTTTTTTTTAAAGGAGACATCAAAAGATATAGCATCTGGGGTCTTAAAGGCTTG